CTTCCATATCTGCTGTCATTCCTTCCCTGCCAGGATGGGCTGCATCACCTAGAACAGCCATCCTGAACAAACCCTCCTTCCTGTAAGTTGTTTCTTGTCAAGTGTAACTAACGTAGACTTGTAGCAAATGTTTTCTAGTTTAAAATGTCTAACCCCAAGACATCTCCAGGGATGGGAATTGTTGAAAAGGAAAGCAAAAGGCCACCACTCTCAAATATGTCCTTGTGTAACAAAGATAGCATGTGTTTTTCTAAGACAAGGGAAGAGCTTGGCCTAAGAACCTAGGGTAAGAATCATATTTTAGATTCATAGCAGTCAATATCAGATTCTAAATTCCTGGCCTACAAAGTGTCTCATTTGACCTTTTTTATACTCCAAGTTTGTTTTCTTTATCCACTTCAGTGATTTCCTAAGTCAATTATTAACTCAATTAGAATTTGATTTCAAATTTGACCTCAGTGTTCTCATCCTCTCTTCCTTGGGTACCTACTGCTAGAATTCCAGCAGTAGTCTGGCACTCTGGGAAGGAACAATGGAGAAGGCTATGGGTAGTCACACATTCCAGATAAAAGCCCCATTTCCCTTTCTGTCCTGGGTGTGAAAAGATGCCTTATGAGGAAGAGGAAGCATAACAGGCAGCAGCCTGTGGAGCTGTAGATGTCCGTTCAATTCCCAGCAAGGATGCCCACCTGGAGGGACTCGTAGAAGAGCTCTGAGCACCTTCCTTATTAATCCTTGAGGAGGTATGCCAGCTCCTGCCCTCAGCTAACCATTTCCCACAAGTTGGGCAAGTGGGAATATTTGGATCTTGTTTGGACCACATTCACCAGAGGAGAGTTCATAGGGATGTTTTTAATTCTCCCTTGTTTCCCCATTTCTAGTCCTCGGGACTTGCATTCATAGCACCTGGTATCAAGACACAGTTAGACACCTCTAAATTCTCAGGTACCTCTCAGTTCAACAGGGAATTGTGGATTAGAACTACCTCTCCTCCTCAGATCACAAAGCATCAAGACAACTGAAGCTTTAGTCCCACTCTTTATCCATTTTCCCCTCCCCTTCACAGTCAGGCCAAGAGTGGCTGGGAATAAAACCAGTTCTGTTCGTTTCCTGTTCCACTTTTTGGTCACACATCAGGTATAACCAGATTAACATCTGGTAATTTTGTTTCAGCAAATCCATGTGTAGGTGGTTATAAGGATATGCACACAGTTGGGCTTCTTGGCATGTGAACTGAAAAGTACTGCTTCACTCATCATTCTGTCACACCAGCTATGGGACATCTGCAGGTAGGTGTCTTGGAAGTGTTTGTATGTGTGTGGATGGCAAGTTCCCTTCACGTGCATTTACCACTAGAGTTCAGGTTTATCTGGTCTATCTGACCAGCCTATGAGGCCAAACTTAGGACTCTAACTGTAATTTGTCTCAGAGGTTTTTTTTTTCTTTTAGTCTGACTTGCCAGAGTGCTTGCTAACCTGCACTAGGCCCAGTGTTTTATTCCCAGCATTGTGTAAATGCAGTGTGGTAGTATGTGCCTGTAATCCTAGCACTCAAGGAGTGGAGACAGGAGGACTGGAAATTCAATACAGAGGAAGTTTAAGGCTCAAAAAAAAAAAAAAAAAGTTGAGAGCTGGGTATGTTGGTGCATGCCTACAATCCCAGGAAGCTGAAATAAGATTGCAATTATAAGGCTACTCTGGGTTGCATAATGAGGGCCTGCCTCAAACAATAAAAACATCAAATTTGTAGGTTTTATTTTCTCTTGTATGTCACTGGTAGTGTTAGGTTTAGCCAAAGAGCAACTTAACTTCATGAAGCCTGTATCTCCAACTTCTGCCTCTAGTTTTTCTCTCTATAAGGGCCATGTGTGTGTGTGTGTGTGTGTGTGTGTGTGTGTGTGTGTGTGTGTGTGTTGGGAAGAAATCTGTAGTATGGCGTGTATGTGGAGTTCACAGGATAAGTTAATGGAGTCAGTTCTCTATTTCCAAACATGTGGGTCCCAGGGACTGAACTTGGCAGCAAGCACCTTTGCCCACTGATCCATCTCACTGATCCCTTTCTATAAGGTTTTGATGTAGGACTAAGGGATGAGAAACACACACACACACACACACATCTTTGCTACTGCTGCAAAAGAGGTGTTTTATCCCTCGCCTCTTGGAGTGCATAGTGGAAATCAGAGGAAGGGCTCTGGAAATCACTCAACAGCCTTCTCTTTCTGACGCTCAACTTACCCAGAAACATCTGACAGGAATATCTCACTGGCTCATGCTCAACCAGTTCACTTATATAACTCAGGTCTACCTGCCTATGGATGATGCTACTCACAGTGGGTGGGGCCTTCCCATATCAATCATCAGTGAAGACAATCTGATCAAGGAGAGTGTTAATTGAGGTTCCCTCATCCCAGGTGTCTCTAGGTTGTGCCAAGTTGACAATATAAACTAACTAGAACACCAACAAAATGTGTTATTCTAAAACCTAGAGATTTTTATTACCAAAGGATGAAGGGAAGAACAGATTTAGGATGCCATATCATTCTCTGTCATAAGGATTCATTTTCCATTGTTGTATGCCCCACGCTTGATAATTCCAACATCTCAGCTGTATCTGAGTCTGGCTGTGATGCTCACATGAGCCTCCAAACCATGTCTTGCCTTTGTCTTATCTACCTTTTTCATCACTATGGCAAAACAGCTGGAAGAGGTAACTTAGAGGAGGATAGGTTGGCTTTGGCTCACAGTTTTAGAAGTTACACTCCACAGTGGCAGGTAAGGCATAGAGGAATGACTCTATGGCAGCAGAGGTATATTGTGGAACTCCTCACATAGTAGCTTCATAGGACAGCAGAGAAGGAGACTAGAAGAAATGCTGGGCTGTCATCCTCAAAGGTTTACCTTCAGTGACCTGTCTCTATGAGCAGGGCATCTTAAAGGTCCCATAGCAGCTCTGCTAGTCAATGTTTGAACCCATGAGCCTGTCTAGGACATCTCCAATTCAAATCATAACAGCTTTTTAGCAGAATTTTAAGACCTTTTTTATATTTTTAAAAATTATTAAAGCCATTAAAAACTACTGAGGATCCCAAAGAACTTTCTTAATGTAAACTAGTGTCTACCAATATTAATCATCTTTAAAAACTAAAACCAAGAAAAATTTAAAATATCATTTATTAATTATTTTATAAACAACAAGTTAAGTCCATTATATGTTAACACCAGAGTGATGACAACATTACACATGTAGCTTCTAGGAAATTCCACCATACACTTAAGAAGGAGAGTAAAATAGTTAAACAATATCTTAGTATTATCAAGAAAAAAATTATCATATCCCCATCTCCCATAATGAATAATGACAATACAATTCAATTTAGTGGGCTGGAGATATGGCTCAGTGATTAAGAGCACTGGCTCCTCTTTCAGAGGACAAGGGTTCAATTCCCAGTACCTACATGGCCGCTCACAACCAGCTGTTCCAGGGGATCCAACATCTCTTTCTGGCCTCCCTAGGCACCAGACACACATATGGCAAACAGCAATACATGGAAATGTTAATTTTATACAAGTAAGATTGTTTTTATGTAGAGGGTGGAAGTTGAGGCAGGGTTTTGCTATGTAGGTCAAGCTGACCTCACATTTGTTGTGACTCTCCTGCCTCAGTCTCCTGGGTGCTTGGCTTACAAGTAGGCACCACTAACCAAAGCCCCGTAGAAAGATTTTAACGTTATTTTTTCTTTTCCAAAATTAGTGATTTGAGATTCTGCTTAACCTTTCTTCCCCCCCCCAAAAAGGTATATTTTTGAAAGGGTGCGGGGAAGGCTGTAGGTAGGAAAAGTCTGGTTTACACTTGGTCACATAAGAGATCAAAAATGGCTCTGTCTGATCTTTGACTTTCCATAACATTTTTCAGCCTTTTCAGAAATGAAAACTGATACTTTAAGCTTCTTGTGAATCCTCCCAAACATTGTTAAATTTGAACATCTGACTCAACTCGTTTGAGAGGAAATCTTAAGTAAGAGATTGAACAAGAATGCTCTTGGGGGGCCTGGACACCAGAACCTAGCTGCTTTTGGTAGCAGTGGAAGGCGAGAGAGCACACAGGGATAGCCTGGTGGTTCACAAAGTGTGGCCTAGAGATCAGCATCAAGGCATCACCCAGGAATTTGCAAGAAATCCCAATTCTACATTTACGGACTTGGAGACTGGACTGGCCCTGCAGTATGTCTCCTAAGGCTTCCTGGTGACTTGGCATTGGGAGATTTTGGAGGGGAATTATTTGAGGATGGCCAGGATATCCAGTCTGTAGTTAATCTTTAGTATAATCGCCTCCTCTGCTTCCTCATCCCTTCCATAAGCATTGGTTTCCTTTCAGTGTTTTTGTGATAGGCACCAGGTATATGTCCGCACCTTGTATGTCCACTTGTAAGCATCAATAATATCAATAGTGCAGGCCAAATTTAGAGTACAAGTCATAGTAGTTCCAAAGACACCAGCTCCTATAGTGGCCTATTAGTAAAGCATCTGATAAGTATAATTTATGTCCCTTGACCTAGCCTTCTGCTCCCAACAGTACCCTAGACACAGGATTCTGAATATTGACAGTCTTCACAGACTTGGCCACTTTGTTTCAATGCTATTCAAAAATTGTTCTGCCAGAGTTTATGTTCTTTGGAAATTCAAAACTGAAGCTTCAACAGAAAGGGGGTTCCCTTCTAGGATTGGGATGAGAACATATAGAGTCCTAATTACCAGCCCAGAGTTTTAAAGGCTGGTTAGTAAATGATGAAATCAGAAGAACCAGTTAGGGGACCAGAGCTTGATAAAGGAGCCACTTGATTAGGATGAGTTTGTGAGATCGGGAAGGGGTGCAGGTGCAGGGGAGGAGGAAGGGGGGAGGAGAGAGGAGGAGAAGGAGTATTTACATTAGTGCTGGGCTTTATGTAGTCTTTCCAAACTGGGAGGGTCCCATGAAGTCACCTAAAGCTACTGTTGTTGTATTATATATGACATGAACAGTGTCCACGCCACACTAGCTTTCATCAACATATGTACATGAGAGCAGAGCATACAGAGTGCTGTTGGGCCCTCTCTCCCATTAAAGACATTAAAATGGTTAGATCCCACTCTCCAATGGCAAAGTCCAGTTTAGTGATGGAGTCCAAGTTTTCTGATGTTCTGTTATGTCCTGTGACTTCAGAACTTTCTAGAACCCAAGGGATCAGCAGGAGACACCTCTAGAGAAGTGTTTAACTTCTTGGATTTCCTTGAGCTTCATGATTCCCATCTGCTTCTCTTGGCCTCCAACTGCTCTGAGTTTTCTAGATGGTTCTTCTACTCTTCTTCCTGGAAGAAGATTAACTCAGTCAGAGCCACATGTGAACTGAACACTTTAACACTGAGATTCTAAATTTGAATTATACCCCAGTATCTTGCTACCTTCTTACCTGAGGAAACCTAGCTCCAAGGCTTCTCTATCCTTCTGACTTCCACACACAGGCAGTGCCAAGTGCACCAATCTCACAAAAAATATTAACATTAAAAAAGTATGAAAAGAGAAAAATAGTAACAAAAGAGTCAAAGGGCTAGGTTGTAGCTGTGTAGAACACTTGCCTACCATGCACAAGGCCTTGGATTCAACTCCCCAGAACAAAAATATGAAATTCCTGAAAATTTAACCAATGTGAGTCAGCTATTGCACACTCCTAGTTCCTAGTAATTGTTTCAAAACAACCCAAACACCTCTGGCAAAGATCAGATTTTTCAGTAATTTAGAGGTAGGATTTCCAATTGGTCACAAGAGGGCACCATTAAGTGAAACTAGCTTCTAGAAAGTAGAATTGTTTTGTTTTTGTTTAAAAAAATTATATTAATAATTATGTGTCCATATTGGGAGTGTATAAATGTGGAACCCAAGGGTCAGAGGCAGGGTCTTTTTATGTAGCCCCAGGCTGGTGCTGGGATCTCAGGTATGTGCCAAACACCCCTGTCCCCAGAGGTATGGTTTTTATTTTGGGGTTTTGTTTGCTTGTTTTATCAAATTCTTTTATCAAAGTTATCATTCCGTCTCCCTTATGGTACTGGCGTGTGTGTGTGTGTGTGTGTGTGTGTGTGTGTGTGTGTGTGTGTGTTGGGGGAGGTGGTCTTGGGAACTCAAGTGGTTTTAGGCACTTCCTTACTTCCCATTATAAACTATACTATTACAGCTCACAAGAGCCTATCCTCTGGTTCTGAGTGTTTGGGTCTCTAAGATACCAGGGAGACGCTCATCTTGAACAGGGAGAAGGTCTCGAAAGCTCAGAGGCCCCTGGACTGTCAGGTATATGGCATCTCTCTTCATCCCCATCCCAAGAGAACACATTAAGGAGATGGTTAGATTGCCAGGGCTAGGAGTGGTTGCTAGTATAACCACTACTGGGGCTCCTCATTTGGACTGCAGTGATTTCTGCTTCTTGATTCACCCGGGGAAATTAGGAGCAGGCCAGACGAACAACAGCATAAGAATGGAAGGAATCTGATTCCCACCTGACCCACCTATGTTATTAAAGGATTTAAGAGATCTGGGTGGGCCAGATCCTGCTTTGGTAGGATGAGGGTGCCCTTCACATTTTGGGACTGGGATGGTTAGTTTAATTATCAACCCAACCCAAAATTACTGGGAGGGAAATGCTCAATGAGGGGTTACCCAGGTTATTCCCTGTGGTCATGTCTGCAGGGGACTGTCTTCATTATGTAAATTGACCCAGACTGTATGAAAAAGAGAAAGTGAGCTGGACATAAGTGTGCATCCATTAATCCATTGCGTTCTGCTTTTGATCGTGGGTGTGACATAAGTAACTGCTTCAAGTTCCAGCCACCTTAGCTCCCACACAATGATGGATTGCAAGCCGGAACTGTGAGTCAAATAAACCCTTTCTTCCTTAAATTGCTTTGTCTGGGTATTTTATCATACCCACAGGAAATGAAACTAAGACAGGGACTGAATATCACACACATACACAAGACTCTAATGAGGACAGATTGGCTTTTCTCAGATGAGTTTACTTTCTTACCTCTTTTTAAAAAAGAATTTTTAGGTTCTTTTGGCATAAGACCTTGAACTTCTGATTTTCCTGCTTCTACCTCCAGAGTGCTGGGATTATCCGTGTATGCCACTATGCTTGGTTTGTTGTGGTGCTGAGGTCAAGCCTGGGCTTTGTGAGCATGCTTAGGCACCCATTCTACCAAGTGAACAACATCCCTAGGCACTTTATTTATTCATCTATTTTGAGATCTGTCTCACTATGCAGCTGAGGCTGACATACTATTGTCTATGCAGCCAGACTGCCCTCAAGCTCAAACTCATGATCTTCCTGCCTCCAGATCCCCAGGGCAGGGATTAAAGGAATGTGGCAGCATGCCCAGTCCTCCTACCGTCCTTTCTCCCTCCCTCTTTCCCTCCCTCCCTCCCTCTCCCCTCTCTCTGTGCAAGTATGTATGTTTGGGTACATGTGTGGGGGAGTAAATGTGTATGCAGAGGTTTGAAGTCAACCTTGGGTATTGTTACTTAGCCCATTTACATTATTTTTTTGAAACTGTTTCTTAAGGAACCTGGAGTTCAGCAATTTTGCTGGGCTGGTGGGAGTCTGAGGGATCACTCCTGTCTGGCTCCTTGGCACTGGAATTAGGGTAAGTGCCATCACATTCAGCTTCAGTTTGGTTGGTTTTGGTTTGGTTTTTTGTTTTTGGGGATGGAACACAAGTGCTCATGTCTGCATGGTAAGCACTTTACTGAGGGAAGTATTTTTCCAGTTTGTCAGTTCTGGGCAGTGTTTATGCTGCGAGGCCAGGGACCAGACGTTGGGGACACTTAGCCCTTGCAGTGTTAGACTCACCATCTATGTTGCCAGGTGAGCCCACTCAGAAGAAGGATGCTGATGAACAGGAAGACACAGCTGGCCACTGTCAAAAGAGAGAGTTTGGGTTGAGCATTGGGGCCATGCTTTGGGGGTGCAGTGGGATGTGGAGCGAAGGAGCTGGATCCACAGGACAGGGGAGAAAATTCCCTAGGTGAGCAAGGACCTCCTGCACAGCTGGAGTCCATAGCTTCTTCCTGTAGGAAAGGGGCTGGCACTTGTCCTCTGGAGTGGACTGCTGTCAAAACTTAAGGAAGGTTCTATAATCTACCATTTTTGGTCCAGGCAGGTGTAGCTTTGAAGCCTGATTTTACCTCCTGCCTGGAACAACAGGGGTGCTTATGGACATTTTTTTCTCTCCCTCACTTAAGTTTTGGGGGCACTGTTCTTGAAGATTTGTGTGGGAGGAAGTGGCTTAGGGTGCCTTAAGACTTAAGTCTTATGATGCTCTTGGTTTATATTGATTGGCAGGACCTAGAGTCACATTAGAGACAAAACTCTGGGCATGTCTGTGCAAGACTTTCTAGATTAGGTTAACTGAGATAGGGAGACCCATTCCAAAAGTAGGCAGTGCCATTCTGTGGGCTGAGATACTAGGATCCATGGAAAGGAAAGTGAAGTAAGGGAAGCACTCATCTCTCTGTGTGTGTATTTTATTTTATTTTATTTTATTTTAGAGACAGGATTTTATCTGGCTGTTCTGGATCTTGCTCTGTAAACCAAGTTGGCTTCAAACTCACAGAGATCCGCCTCTGCTTTCCAAGTGCTAGAATTAAAGACGTGCACTACTATAGCCAGCCTTTCTGTGTTTCTTAACAGCAGATGCAGTGTGACCAGCTGCTCAGTCTCCTCCGCCATGCATCCCCATGGTGATGGACTGGATTCTGGAACTGTGAGCCAGAACTAATCTTTCTTTCCTTTAGTTTGCTTCATCAGACCTTTGGTCAAAGCAATTCAAAAGCTAGCTAATACAACTCTGAACATTTTTGAGTAATGTTAGCATCTAAAGCCATCTTTTCCCCTTATAAACATTATTGAAAAAGAGGGATCATTTCATGTCTTGGCATGCTGCACAATTTGTCCATAAATGAAATGACCTGACCCACCTGCTATCTGATACTCCACTGTAAGTATGAATGTCTCCATAGTAGTAGCTGCTTCTGTGGGGAGCTGGAAGTCTGTGGGAAAGAGAAACAAGGAAAGACTCAGTTTATAGCAAGCATAGGACTGCATGAGACTGGAAGGGGAGAGGCATCTTAGTGGATTTGTTACTCAGTTGGGGGAGACACTTTAGCAGGGTCTGTCTGGAAACCTCAACTTCAGTCCTGTGACTTCTCCTTCTGACACCCCCTTTAGATTGCGTGTGTGTGGAGAGAGTGTATGCATGTGTGTGTGTGTGTGTGTGTGTGTGTGTGTGTGTGTGTGTGTTCATATGTACATACACATGTACCTATGGAGGTCAGAGGTCAACATCAGGTGTCTTTCTTAACTGATCACCTTATTTTTTGGAACAGAGTATCTTACTGAACCTGAATCTCATTGGTTCAGCTAAACTAGATGATGGCAACCAAGCCCCAGAGATCCTCATGTTTCTGTCTCCCCAGTGCTGAGGTTATAGCCAACTACTGCCATATATAGCTTTTTGAAAATTTGAGCATGATTTCCTGGGTATCAAAATCAGGTTCTATGCTTTGCATGACAAGCCGTCTTCCCAGCCTGCCTTGGGTTGATTATGTTGCTATAACCATATTCTTGATTTGGAGGAAAGGAAGGCAGCTAGGGCCAGCTTCCCCTCTTCATCTTATTCATCGCTGGAGAAGCTTGCATGGACACTGTGTGCGCTTGCCTGGGGGCCAATGTCTGTTCTCAAAGCTCTCTCCATACCTGTTGTGGTGATGGGACAGGAAGTCTCACTCTCAGGAAAAGGGTCGCTGCTTCCTTGAGGTTCTTCACTGGCTGCAGAAGAGAAAAGGGATTTAATTTGGAGCCCAAGATGAAGATATAGGGCTCTAATACCTCCCTCCCCCTGCCAATTGCTGTTTGCACCAGCTACACCTGCTGAGGCATGACACCTAGTATGGGCATGTCCTGGGGACACAGTTCCACATCAGAGGCACTAGAAGCAGTTAAAGGGCGATAGCAGGGCATATACTGGGGAATTCTAAACCATCACGGACTATCTATGGAACTGCGAGCAAGTCTTTCTCTCCAGGCTTCCTACTTAGCCCTGGATTCCACCATTGACTTGGAAATGGGTCAAAATCACACATCCACACCCACCACCAAATGGAGCTAAATGGAGCTTTTACAGTTCCTTTGTGATCAGTTATCCAGTGTGCTAGCTAGTTTTATGTCAACTTGACTTAGGCTAGACTCATTGGAGAGGAGGAAGCTTCAGTTGAGAAAATGCCACCATAAGATTAGGTTGTAGACAAGCCTGTAGAGTGTTTTCTTAAATAATGATTGATGGTAGATGCCATCTCTGGGCTTGTGGTCCCTTCTATAAGAAAACAGGCTGAGCAAGCCAGTAAGCAGCACTTCTCCGTGGCGTCTGCAGCAGCTTCTGCCTCCAGGTTTCTGCCCTGTTTGAGTTTCTGTCCTGACTTCCTTCAATGATGAACAGTGATATGGAAGTGTAGGTCAAATAAACCTTTTCTTCCTTAAGTTGCTTTTGGTCACATTATTTTATCACAGATTCCTAGGAACTTGCCATTCCATCTCTTACAAAGAAAACTATTGGCATGCCCTGACCTAAGGGTGGCTTACTGAAAGCAAGTTATGGGAAAGACATAGCAACCTGAGAGAATCATGGAAGAAGTTACAGAATGTGACAAACGGTAGAGGTAAAGAAACTAGGAAAATTCATGAGTGAATTTGATTAAAGAAGTAGTAAGATTTCAAAAAAAATATGGCAGAAGATCTCAACACTGGCAGGCTATATGTGAGCAGGAGTGGGTATGTGAACATATATGCTAAAGCAAATCACTTTCCACATACTTGTATTTTTTTTTAATCAAAGATCATGAAGGACCTTACAGGGAAGTGTAATGACAATGAAACATTGTACAAGTGGCATAACTATCTTAAATACAAGTGAAAGAAGAAGCATGTGGGTGTGAAGCTGGACTTGCCCTTGTGAACTATGGAAAGTCTTGGTAGTTGGGCAGAAATTGTGGAAGTTCAGGATCAGCTAGACATAGGATAGCATTGTTACAAGGAGACAGCACCCTGTGTGCATTGGGACACTAGAGAGATCACTATTCCTCTGTCTCAATCTATGTTTAGAGCAGCAATGAGGGGAATCTCAGTGTTGATCTGTTCTGTTTTAGAAGATGAGACCTAGAGAATCAAGTGGCTTTTCCAAAGTCCGTTGGCAGAGAGGATTCTCACCTTGGACTGATGGAGAAAAGAATGGATGGACACAAGAAAAGAATAACCTACCTGGAAACTGATGGTGTTCTCTTTCATCTACACATGTGAGCTGGGGCTGAGTCCACACTGTCTTCCCACAGATCATTTTGCAGATGCTCATGGCAGGACCTCTCTGTAGGGCCTTGTATCCTTGAATGCACTCATAGTGAAGTACCTGTCCTACCATGAAATGATAGATTCTCTTGGTATCTTCATGTTCCCATGGAGGGGGCTCCCTGCAGTGACCTGGAAGAGGAAAATAATTCTGAAGGCAAGTTTGGGAAGGTGTAATGAGTGCCTCTGTAGGTTGCCTCTTGCACCCAGAGTAACTCTGGTTGCTAGAAACTGGGCCTTGGTTCTTATTCTTTTGTTTCACTCTCTTACTGAACCTATGGCTATTGAGAGCATCCAGGGGGCAGGAAGGTAGGAACTTCAGGAAGGTATGAAACCCAGTGTTGTATAGCTTTTTCCTCTGAGTTGAAATATTCCCTCTTGGAGGGAGGCTCCTTTGGACTCAAATAAACAAACAAAACTCACAGGTCTCTGGAAGCTCCTGAAACTCATCGACCCCTTGTGCAGTTACATAAGCAGTAACAATGACTAAGAGGTCCCTCAAATTGTTGGAGCTCTCTGCCAGTCCTGCAGGGATCTCCAGGGATGCAACTTTCGTGGGTTGTCATCCATGCTGGGGTGCATTTGAGTCATCCATGCTCCCAAGAGTAAGCCCAATAAATTCATTGGTTCATTGCATGGTACGTGGATAGAATTGCTTCTTTGGCTTGTTGTCTGATTAACAGATGTTTGTTCATGTCTCCCCAGCAAAAGTCACATAGTGCCTTGTCAGTCATGTAAGGATCGGACAGTTGATTAGTCAAGAAAGATGTAGGTAAGTGAACAGAAAGTGGGTATTGCAAGTGAAGAGTGGATGCTTGCTAGGGCTGTAGGGGATGAGATCTTCATTTAACTGATGCTGCAAAGACTCTGAGGGATTTCGAAAAGTAGACAGGTGTAAGAGGGCACTCAGTTGAGAGCAACGGGGTAGAGCACTTTGTGTTTCCATGGAATAAGTGAGGAGCCATAAATTTGAGTGGTAGTTGGTAATCTTTCTAGGAAATTGCTGAGCTGACCAAGGATAAGCCTATGTCTGGAGGAGGGGAGACACTGAGAGAATCTCAGAGAAATGGATCATGGTCCTTAATTAAACCACAAATGTATCATAATTAAAGCACACCTGAAGCTTGACCCACAGTGGCCCCATCAGCCTGTGCCTAGCAACTCACTGGACTGACCCCCTGGCTTGGCTGAACTTTGGCTCCCGAGATCATAGCCTGTTCGGATTTAATTGAATTTGCTACCCACTGCCCTCCATCTGATCAGATGGCACTATATAGCCTATCTAAGTCTGGATCATGAGATCACACATAGGTTTGGAGCCTGCCAGATTTTCAAAACAATCTCCAACAGGACAGCATACTCTGCCCCAGTAGGAAGGTTCCTGGCTCTTTGCCCTTTGTGTAACAGAACTGGAACTGTGTTTTAGTCTCAGAACAAAATATTATTTTAAGGTCAAAAAAATCATAATTGAACAGAACCTGCTTGAACTTTATTTTGTTTTTCAAGACAGAGTTTCTCTATAGTTTTGGAGCCCGTCCTGGAACTTACTCTGTAGAACAAGCTACCCACGAATTCACAGAGATCTACCTGCGTCTGCCTTCCAAGTGCTGGGATTAAAGGCATGTGCCACCACCACTAGGCCTTGATTTGTTTAAAATGGAAACACTAAACTGACAATTTATGGAACATCCCTCAGCTAGAAACAACTGGTTCTCTCTCTCTTTGTTGTTTGGGGATGAGGAGGACATCATACAGTTCAGATTGGCTTTGAACTTCTGAGCCTCCTGCTTCTGCTCCCCAAATGCCAAAATAACAGACATGCACAACCATGCCCAGTTCGGCTGATTGTCTCTTGAGTAAGAACAAACATAGACCTTTCAATAACCATAGAGGATGGCACCAGTTAGCAGGAAAGCGGAGCAAATATCAAATACATTTGGAAACACCATTTCAGGATGGCGATGGAAGAGGAAAAGGACTGAAAACTGTTATGGTGAAGGTTCCACCCATGTCCCCTCCCCTATCTCTCTCCAAACTCTGCTGTGTCTCAGAAAGCCCACCAAATGATGACCCCTCCCACAGAGATGCTCAAGACCACTCCCACAGGGTATTTAAACTGCCACCAAGAAAATAGACTTGTGGTTTTCCAGTTTCTCTTTTCCAGTTTCCTCTCTGTGGGGGCTGGAAGGCCATCTGGGAGCGTTGTATCCATTAAGGATGGGCTTTTTCTAATTCGGGTTGATTTGGTCTGATTTGTATTGCTGCATCTGCAGAGAGGCTTATTGGGGTGCAGAAACTTTTCAAAAATATCACATTGCAATAATGCTTCTTGATTGGCCTTTCTTCCCTCACCCCAATATTGGATGCTATCAGTAGTTTTTAAGTAGTTAAAAATAATCCCTCAGTAGAAAGAGCTGTCATCTAATCCAAGCAACCAGAGGTCTTACTTTCACCCTATGATGTGACTTTAGCTAGATTGTTTAACTTCCCTGTGTCTTAGTTGATTCACTCAGTTGTGGGGTTCAAATGAGATTATATATGATACAATAAAGTTCTTTGTAAGATTATAACTTTATAGTAAGACTATGGGGTCTTCATATGGCCAACAGGTACCCACAAATCTAGGTAACCCTAGCAGACTCTCTTTCTGATATTGTGGTTTAATTTAAGTATTATTTCATTTGGGAAACTCATGGGCAGACACAGCACCCACTCATGCATATCTCATTAACTAGTAAATAATTGTCTATGGCTATAATTTTAAAACCCCTGTTCTGTAAGAAGCAAATTGCTATCAATGGTTTTGTTCAAACTTCATTGTTTTGCACTTAAGAGAAAATAGGAGGAATTTCTGAGGGCAGACACCTTTGCTTATTTAACTTGTTACTCCTGCGCCTAGCTCACAGCTATTGCCATCACATACTTTTGAACTGAATTGAATCTGCAGTTGAAGTCTGATGCCCTCAAGCCATAGTCTATGTTACCTTCAGAAAGAATGGCTTAAAACGCTAAGCAATGATTCTGCTAACATTGGAAGATATTGTCATTTCTGTGGTGTTCTGAGCGAACAAGAAGGAGTTGCACCTGCCTGTGGAAGACAGGACTAATGTCTCTCATTTGGCTCATCCTTTCCATGTAGCCGAAGGTCAGCTACCAAGAGCCAGCTAGAGGATGGTTGTTGAGACTCATATCTTACCTGGAAGGTTCCCTTGGTGCACAGACTGAGTTGATTTCTGCATTTCTGTGGTTTGCCACTCTTTCTGGTCTTCGGGTTTAGGTGTAACTTGCTTTCTTGTGTTGCTGTTGGCTAGAGAATATGGGAGGAGTAAGCAAATAAATTTGCAAATGCTCAGAATAGAAAAAAAACAAAAACAAAAGAAAAGAAAGAAAGAAAAAACTGTTTGTGCATTCATTCACCCCAGGACATTTCTCAAGTGCTTAGAAATAGCTCATTTCAGTGTAGGATTTGCAGAGGTGTGCAAACAAGCCCTCCCTTGGATAGGGCTTGAACACCTAGCCTAGCCCTGACCTCTCCATGCCCACATTCTCATCCATATGCATATTGACAAAGGATACAACACATTCCTAGAAGAAATGCAAGAATATCCTACTAGGAAAATCCTGTGTACATGTAAATCAAACATGATCAAGATGGAAGGTCTCCTATCATGGTTGCTGCCAGTATTGCACACAGCAGATGGGAGGAGTCTAATTCCACAGCCCTCACTTAACTCCTTCACTCTCCTATAGTGTTTCAGAGCTATTCAAATTGGAGAAATGTCTAAGAAAATGCAACGAAGAGAAGTTGCAGATGAGGAAGCATCAGAACTCCAGCTTAGGATAAGGGGAGATCTGTTTGAAAATAAGTTAGTTAACCAGGCACTCTAGTAGAGCAGCCATCTTTAAACTCTGCCCTCCAAGTGGTTTGGCTCACTGACTCACTTCATCCCCAAGGTTAAGAAATAAAGATGAATGACACAACAGATCTGTGGTGATATATTATTTATAATCTGATAAATCTTGCCTGGAGATTAGAATACAAAGCTAGCCTCTACAGCTGTAGAGGCCAGGCAATGATGGTATACGCCTTTAATCCTAGCACTAGAGAGGCATATTAGACAGGAGCAGGGTCTCAGACCTGGTAATTAGTCTCCAGCCACCTTGAGGACAGGATCACCCCAGCCTTGTTAGAGATAAGGGTTCTCTGGTGGCTTGGCTGCTTTGCCTTTCTGAACTTCAGTTTGAACCCCAATACCTGTCTCTGGGTTTTTATTATTTGTGCAACATGTATCAGTTATGGGACCCACATAGGTGTCTAACAATAGAGGAATAATTAAAGTAAATGTTGTATATGTAGAATTTTTCTTTAATACATACATGCACGCACACACACACACATACACACACACACACACACACATACATTTGAGTCAGGGTCTCACTATGTACTCCCAGTTGGCCTGGAGCACACTATATAGTCCAGGCTGTCTTGAATATCACAGAGATCCACCTGCTTCTGATTGCTGAGTGCTGGGATTACAAACATGTGCCACCACTCTCAGGTCAGTGGCATGATGGGAAATTTTCAGCCATAAAGAAGAAAATGGACGCAGCTAGAGACAACAATATTAAACAATTAAGTCAGCCTCAGAAAGAGAAATATCATGTTTTTTTTTCATTTATAGTTCCTAGACTTTCCATAGGTTCATAAAATTATATCTAGATGACCGGAAAGTACAAGAAAGCTGTCCAAAGAAACCAAAAATGTCTAATGGGAAGGGAATAGAGGAGAGATTGGGAGTATCAAATGGGAGAAGAATATGTTCATTCTAAATCACATTAGAGAATTAACAGTACAACTGAAAGCCTTAGAACAAAAAGAAGCAAACTCATCCCCGGAGGAGTAGATGCCAGGAAATAATCAACTTGAGGGCTGAAATCAATAAACTAGAAACCAGGAAAACAATACAAAAAAAAATCAATGCAACAAAGAGTTGGGTTTTTTTTTTTTTTTGAGAAAATCAACAAGATAGACAAACCTTTATCCAAATTAACCAAAAACCAGAGAGAGAACATGCAAATTAACAAAATCATAAATGTAAAGGAGGACATAACAATGACACTGAGGAAATCCAGAGACTTTTCAGGTCATACTTTGAAAACCTGTACTCCACAAAATTTGAAAAGTCAAAGGAAATGGACAAATTTCTGGATAACTATAATGTACAAAAATTAAATCAAGAACAGACAAACAACTTAAATAGACTTATAACCCCTAACAAAATAGAAGCAGTCATCAAAAGCCTTCCAACCAAAAAAAACCCAGGGCCAGATGGCTTCACTGCAGAATTTTACCAAAAATTCAAGGAAGAACTAATACCAATACTCCTCAAATTGTTCCATACAATAGAAACAGAAGGTTCATTACCACATTACCACATTTATGAGGCCACAATCAACTTGTACCCAAGCCACACAAAGACACAACTAAGAAAGAAAACTACAGACCAATATCCCTCATGAACCTTGATGCAAAAATACTCAAACACTAGCAAACTGAATCCAAGAATACATCAGAGAAATCATCCACCATGACCAAGTAGGCTTTATCCCTGGGTTGCAGGGATGGTTTAACATAGGAAAATCTATCAATATGATCCACCATATAAACAAACTGAAAAAGAAAAACCACACGATCATCTCACTAGATGCTGAAAAATCCTTCGACAAAATTCAACACCCTTTCATGATAAAGGTCTTGGAGAGATCAGGGACAACAGGAACATACCTAAACATAATAAAAGCAATATACAATAGACCAACAGCCAACATCAAACTGAATGGAGAGAAGTTTAAGGCGATTCCTCTAAAATCAGGAAGAAGACAAGGCTGCCCTCTCCATATCTCTTCAATATCGTACTAGAAGTTCTAGCTAATGCTATAAGACAACAAAAGGAGATCAAGGGGATCCAAATTGGAAAGTAAGAAGTCAAACTGTCTCTATTTGCAGATGATATGATAGTTTACATAAGCGATCCAAAAAACTCTACCAGAGAACACCTACAGCTGATAAACACCTTCAGCAAACTAGCAGTATACAAGATAAACTCAAAAAAATCAGTAGCCCTACTTTATTCAGATGACAAAAGGGCTGAGAAAGAAATCAGAGAGACATCACCCTTTACAATAGCCACAAACAACATATCTTGGGGTAACACTTACCAAACAAGTGACAGACCTATATAATAAGAACTTTGTGTCTTTAAAGAAAGAAATTAAAGAAGATATCAGAAAATGGAAAGATTTCCTATGCTCTTGGATAGGTAAGATAAACAAGGTAAAAATGGCAATCTTGCCAAAAACAATCTACAGATTCAATGCAATCCCCATGAAAATCCCAGCTCAATTCTTCACTGACCTTGAAAGGATAATAAACAACTTTATATGGAAAAACAAAAGACCCAGGATAGCCAAAACAACCCAATACAATAAAGGAACTTCAGGAGGCATCACCATCCCCAACTTTAAGCTCTGCTTCAGAGCTATAGTCCTGAAAACAGCCTGATATTGGCACAAAGATAGACAAGTAGACCAATAGAATGAAATAGAAAATCCTGATATTAACCCACACACCTACGAACACCTGATTTTTGACAAAACAGATAAAAGTATACAATAGGAGTATATTGCAGTTTAATAAGGATCAGGATAAACACATAGGCCGAACAGATGTTTATTCAGGGAGAAATACCTTACAACCTAGACAGATGAACACCAGCAGGTCCACTGGATGCTCTCCTCTCAGCTTCCCGCCAGCCAGATAGTATTCACGGGCTCTGCCTCAGACCTACTTCTTCAGGTCACTTCTGCCCCTGGCTCCAGCCTCCAGTGCCACAGAAGCAGACAAAGTGAATATCTCACTACAGGAGGAGGAAAGAGTCTTCAACAAATGGTGCTGGCATAACTGGATGATGGTATGTAGATGACTGCAGGTAGACCCATGTCTATCATCACGCACAAAACTCAAATCCCAATGGATCAAAAACCTCAACATAAATCCAGCCACACTGAACCTCTTAGAAGAGAAAGTGGGAGGTACCCTTGAACAAATTGGTATAGGAGACCGCTTCCTGAACATAACTCCAGTAGCACAGACACTGAGATCGACAATTAATAAATGGGACCTCCTCAAACTTAGAAGCTTTTGTAAGGCAAAGGACACAGTTGACAAGACCAAATGGCAGCCCACAGACTGGGAAAAGATCTTCACCAATACTACATCTGACAGAGGGCTGACCTCCAAAATATACAAAGAACTCAAGAAATTAGTCAACAAAACAACAAAAAAACCTATTTAAAAATGGGGTACAGAATTGAATAGAGAACTCTCAATAGAGGAAATCAAAAAGGCTGAAAGACACTTAAGAAAGTGCTCAACATCCTTAGCTATCAGGGAAATGCAAATCAAAACAACTTTGAGATACCATCTTACTCCTGCCAGAATGGCTAAAATTAAAAACACCAATGACAACTTATGCTGGAGAAGATATGGAGAAAGGGGACACTCCTCCACTGCTGGTGGGAGTGCAAACTTGTACAGCCCTTTTGGAGCTCCTTATGGCAGTTCTTCAGGAAAATGGGAATCAGTCTACCACAATTCCCCTCTTAGGCATATACCCAAAAGATCCACATCCATGAAACAAAGACAGGTGCTCAACTATGTTCATAGCAGCATTATTTGTAGTAGCAAGTACCTGGAAGCAACCTAGATGCCCCTCAACTGAAGAATGGATAAAGAAGATGTGGCACATTTACACAATGGAAAACTCTGCAAGGGGGCGGCGGCAATGGAATCTTGAAATCTTGAAATGCGCAGGCAAGTGGATGAAACTTGAAGAAACCATCCTGAATGAGGTAACTCAGTCACAAAAAGAGGAACATGGTGTGTATTTACTCATATATGGATTTTGGACATAGAACAAAGGATCACCAGCCTATAATTCACACCACCAGAGAAACTAGGATACAAAGAGGATTCTAAGAGAGTCATATAATGTCCCTCACAGAAGGGGAAAGGGACAAGATTTCCAGAGCACATGGGGAGTGAGGGGGAGGGCAGTGAGTGGAGAGGGAACTAGGAGAAAAAGAAGGGGAGGAGAGGAAAGCATGTGGGACTAGGAAGATTGAGTCAGGGGAGGAATAGATGAGAGAAGAGAAAGAGAGACAGAGACAGACAGACAGACAGAGAGAGAGAGCATAAATCAGGGAGCCATTATAGGTTTGAAGAGAAAACTGAACCTAGAGAAATGTCCAGAGACCTACAAGACTGACCCCAACTAACAATTTGAGCCAACTGTGGAAAGGCTACCATGAATGCCCTTTCCTGATAATGAGATCAACGACTAACTTATCCACCATCATGGAGCCCTCATCTAGTAGCTGATGGAAACACAAGCAAACACCCACAACTAAACACTAGCTGAACTGGAATCCAGATGTAGAGAGGGAGGACAAGACCAGGCTGCAGAAACACAGAGACAGCTGACCTGAACAAGGAGGAGCTAAGGGGCCCCCAGGCTGACAGCTGGGAATCCAGCATGGGGCTGACTCAGACCCCCTGAACATGGGTCTCAGCTAGAAGGCCTGAGCATCCTAAGGGACCTCATACAGTGGAACCAGGATGTATTCCTGGTGCACAAAAGGACTTTGGGGGCACATCCTCCATGGAGGGATACTCTCTTAATCTAGAAACAGGAGAGAAGTCCTAGTCCCTATTCCACCAAATGACTTGACAGATTTAGATGACCCCTCCTGGAGGGCATCACTCTATATGTGGAGTGGGGAGGGGATGGGAGGGGAGAGTGGTGGTGGTGGGGCATGAGAGGGTGGGAGAGAGGGAAAGAGGGAGAGAGAACTGGGATAGATATGTAAAATAAAAATAAAAATAAATGAAAATATATAAAAAAGAATATGTTCATTCTACAGTGTGTACCTGTATGAACATAGTCTTATATAATACACTATTATATGCAATGGATATATGCAATAAAATGTTTTACATATAATACAATATATTCCCTTTCCACAGTCTCCCCCAAGAATGGAGAAGAAACTGAGTATGGAGACAGGCTATGTGAAGGAGAATTCTGAACTCAAGGAAGGAAGAATAGAGACCAATAACAAAGTAATGGAATCTCTCAGATTGACTCAGGCTTAGTAAGCCTAGCTCTTAGAATGAGTAGACACCCATTAAATGATGTTAAGTGAGTGGATATCCTAGAAGCCTCTAAAATGGATTACTGCCCAGATTTGTCTACCATTATTTTATCTGTTGGTCTGAGTTAATGGAAGCCTGACTCTGCTATTATCCCTTGTTCCTTTCCCATTGAGGTCACAGGAGGGACACTTACAGTTGCTTGTGCACTGACAGCTTCTGCTCCAGGAGTTTTCTAAACAAACCATATAGACCAACTCCTTTGTTCTTCGGAAACCTCTCTTGCATTCACAGTTTAGGATGGTGCCATTCTTATAGGCAGAGGCTTTAAATGTGGCATAGGCAACTTTTGGTGGGCTGTCCATACACATCTCTGCAAAGAGAAAAAGCATGTTAGTGTAGGGGCCCCGGTGAGACACAAGTTTGATTGTTCAGTGTCTTGCTCCCACATTTCTTCCATTTAAAGGATTGGTTTGTACTCCATTTTCTCTGGAAAGGGACTAAGGCTCACTGTGGTTCCCCTCCTGACTGGTTTTTATGTCCACTTGACACAGCATAGAGGTCATCTGAGAGGAGGAACCCCCAACTGAGAAAACACCTCCACAAAAGCAGGCTGTATGTAGCTAGGCCTATAGGGCATTTTTAATTTTAGTGACTGATAAGGGAAGGCCCAGACCATTGTGGGTGGAACCACCCCTGGGCTGGTGCTCCTGAGTGCTGTAAGTAAGCAGGCTGAGCAAGCCAGTAAGCAGCACTCCTCCATGGCCTCTGCATCCACTCCTGCCTCCAGGATCCTGGCCTGTTTGAGTGCCTGCCCTGACTTGCTTCAGTGATGAAGTGTAAGTAGAAGCCAAATAAATCCTTTCCTTCCCGAGTTGCTTTTGGTCATGGTGTCTCATCACAGCAATAGTGACCCTAACTAAGACAGTTCCTTAGAAATCTTTGTATCAGAGACAGCTCCATTTGCAGTGGGTGTTGGTTACTGCACAGATGTACAAATGATCTATGTGCTGAGAATAAAGGACGGTTGAAGGCTTGACTCCTTAATATGACAACTGAATCTTTCCCCCTAAGGCTTGGGAACATTGCAGAAAAGGGGAAGGAAATAAAGTAAGAGTGAGAGGAAAGGGTGGGGTGGTTAAAACATTATTTCTTGAGTATGACTTGGGTGTGCACTCTTGCACTATCAGCAACTGTCATTACCTGCACAAGATTGTTCCTGTCAACATTTCAGCATAAAAAGGGGAGGGGCTCGCGGGGTTCTATCCCTTTCTGATGATTTATAGGCAGTTAATAGTTGCTGGGTAGGAGGATAGCATGAGGCCTGTCCCAGAAGATATATAGGCAATTGATTGCTGATAGAGGTAGAGATATTTTTCTCATGATGTAGCCACTGGCACATTGCTTGTATTCCTATACATAACCCTGCACCCTGTGGATGGACATTTCTATCCCACCTGGTCTTGAAACTGTTTAGTCCCAAATAAACACACAGAGGTTTATGCTAATTATAAACTGTTTGGCCAATGGCTCAGGCTTCTTGTTGGCTAGCTCTCTCTTAATTATTAACCCATTTCTACTAATCTGTGTATCTCCATGTGGTCTTGGCTTACCAGTGATGCCCAGATTCTCTTGCTCCCTCGGCAGCTACATGGCATCTCTCTGACTCTGCCTGCTTCCTTTCACTATCCCTGTTTGGATTTCCCACCTGGCTAAATCCTGCCTGTCCATTGGCTGAGACAGCTTTATTCATCAACCAATAGGAGAAACATACATTCACAGCATTTAGAAGGACATCCCCCATCAGTACTCATTTCTCTATAAGTAGCTCTAATTAAACTCATTGGTTTATCACAAACAAAGACAAGACCATAGAAAAGCAACTTGTTGGAAAGAGGCAGGGGATCAGTGGGAATGGGTGTCTATGTAAATAAGATCAAATACATTACATGCATGTGTGGAAATGTCAATATAAAACCTATTATATATGTTTAATATATGCTAACAAAACTAAAGATAAATATTTGTGTCAGAGATGCTATAGCAGTGCTCACCCCAGACCTTCTACAGTATAAAACACACACTATATAAAGAATAAGCAGAAGTAAGTAGAGTTCTATTCTGGAGACACATCCTAGCAAACACAGAAGAGAGGGTGGGCCAAGGCAAGTCAAGGCTTCAGGGACTGACCTAGTGTCCTAACATGAACACCAGAAGCAGTGCTTCCACAAGAAATTTTCCTGAGACAGGGTCTTCTCGTATAGCCCAAACTGGCCTGAAGTTCATTATGTAGCTGAGGATGGCCTTGAACTCCTATCATCCTGCTTTCACTCCCACGTGCTGGAGCCTCAGGTGCACAACACCACAGCTAGCTCTCAACACCTGACTCTTGAGGAGGAACCGTGGCCTTGGTCTAAGCAGAAAATCATTCCATTGCAGCAAGTTCTTCTGCTTGAAGAGATTTGGTGACTAGGAAAATGCCACAGACAGCATAAGGGATGGAGTAACAGTAAGGAGAGGAAATGTGGGGAAAGCAGGAGACAGTCATAGAAGGGAGCCACTCCATCTGGGGGAGCACACTGAGACTGGCCTCAGCACCTGCCTTATAAACCAGATGGTTGTTTATCATGATGGTTGATTTGAGGTGTCAATCTGAGTGCTCTAATGGATGCCTAGAGAATTCAAAGCATAGTTCTGGGTGTATCTGTAAGTATATTACCAGAGAAGATCACCCAACAGTCAGCCGGGTAAGGCTGGGACAGGAAGTAGAAGGCGATGGAGTGTGTTTTCTCTATCATCTCACCCCCCTTCCTGGTCTCCTTCTCCCTCTCTCTCCCACTTCACTCTTCCCACCCTTTCTTCCTCTCCACCTCTCTCTTTTTCTCTCCCTTCCTCCCTCTCTTCCCACCCCTGGTGGTTTGAATGAGAATGACCCCCAAAGGTTCGTATATTTGAATGCCTGTTCCCCAGTGGTGCAACTGCTTGGGTAGTATGAAACATGGGATTGGTGGCAGCTTGATGGCAAGCACCTTTACACACTGAGTCATATTGCCAGCCCATTTCTGAAATTTGAAGACCGACATTTACTTACAGATCCAAGATGTTCCCTACCCAGGCAGAATAAAGAAAAGCCAATCAGCATGCATCCATTGCGAAGCCACCAAAAACCTAAAGTCTTAAAGCAACCAGAGAAGTTCACACCTATAGGTGGAAAATGTGATGGATGAGAGCGACTTTGCCACAGAAACAAAGGGAGCCAGAAAACAACGGTGTAACAAAGCCAGTCTTCAGTCTGTCAGCACAGAATTCTGATTAGACATGACACTCTTCAAAAAGAAGGTGGAATTAGCACATTTTCAGGTAAAAGCAAGTTTATAGAGTCCCATTAGCACACTTGCATTGCATGTTAATGTGGGGGGAGGAGCTAAGGACAAAACTTCAAGCCTCAGAGAAATTATTCTAGCCAGAAATAGAAATCCACAGGGAATAATGAAGAACACAATAGCTTTTTCCTTGAAAGAACTGTTTAAAATAAAAATAATAATATTGTATGGTAGGCCTTTTATTTATTTTAATTATGTATGTTGGGCGTGGGTTGGGGGGAAATGGTCATGAATGGAATACCCCTAGAGACCAGAAGAGGGTATCAGTCACAGGTATTTATGAGATGCATGATGTGGGTGCTGAGAACTGAGCTCAGATCTTCTAGAAGAGCAGAATGTGTTCTTAATCACCTAGCCACCTTGCGAGTCCCTACATGGTAGATCTTACCACCTAAATAAATGTGAAACATCACAACTGTAGAAAGAGGGTTGATGTTAATGGGCCCTTAGCTTTTTAAGTTATTCCAGTATGTTTGAAATGGTACAATATTGACTAAATGGAGCATAGAAAATTAAGAATGCATGGTGACTACCCCAGGAAAGGGATCGAATAATGAAATACCACAGGAAGCATATATAAAAAGGTAATAAAATAAGCAGACTATTCCGATATGTATTAAATATCTATTTTGAGTAGTAGCTAAAATGAATAATAAAATAAGAATACAAATGGGGCAACTAGGAAAGAGCAAGAAGGCAGATGTGAGGTCAAACCATTATCAGTGATTAAACATGAATGAACCAAAGTTTCTAAAATGGAAACTTTCAGACAATAACAGACAGCAGGGTTCAACTACATGCTGTCTATGCAAGAATATTCTTAAACATAAACCCACAATAAACTGAGAACAAAAGAGTAGAAAAATATGTGCAGAGATTAGCATAGGAAAGCTGATATGACTCAGTTACTATCAGAAAGCAGTTTCATGAGGAAGGGCATTATTCACAGCTGAAAAATGTCTCTTGCCATGAAAGTACTGTGAATTCTACACAATGGCATTTGCAAGACAGCAGGCCAGCCAATTCAAGCACTTGTCATTTGTGTATACTGAGTCAGTTAGACAAAAATATATAATCAATTAAATTTACACATCAGAACCATAAAATAATCATGAAAAAATTAACCAATACCTCCAAGAAAGCTAGGCTTGCTGAAATAAATTTCAAAAGAAGTAAACAGAAAGAGATACAATGTTAATGAATTGCAAGATTGATTCCCTCCCCCAACCCAGCCCCCCATTTCAGTTTTCTGAGACAGGGTCTCTCTATGTAGCCCTGGCTGTCCTGGAACTAGGTTTGTAGACCAGGCTGTCCTCGAACTCACAGAGACCCTCCTGCCTCTGCTTCCCAAGTGCTTGGATTAAAGGTATGTGCCACCACCACCTGGTTTAGAAAACTGACTTTTAAAAACACATGTCAGTCTACCTTGAAGTCAATGTAATTATAATCAAAATATCCAATGTACTTTTTAGTAAAATTGGCAAGTTGTTCTTTTAGAGCTTCTTTGGAAGTGTCTAAGACAATGCTAAAATGAAGTATATGTTTGGAGATTCATAACATCTGTTACCAAGACCTTCAATAAAACTAGTCATCAAGACAGCAAGCTATTGGGATAAGAACGAGTATAGGAACAGAAGTTCTGGAAACTGTCCACATTCAATTGCCCACCTTCCCAATTTGCCAAAGCAAATCCCTGGAAAAAAAAAAGGGAAAATACTCTTGAGTCATGTGGATGAATGTGTAGAGGGAAAAATGTTTCCTTTACTTCTATAGATAAAACTTGTTTTTTTTAAACATATAAATAATGATTAGCTTTACACATCACACATGCAACCATAAAAAAAAAACTGTAATACTTCTAAAAGGAAATAAAGGCAAATAACCTCAGAAGTTGGGGATAGGCAAAGACTTCTTAGGAAAAATAAGTCTTGAGAGATAGCTCAGCAGTTAAGAATGCATGCTGCTCTTGCAGAGGACATGTGTTCTGTCC